GGGATTTAAACACCTCTAGGGATGGAGATTCCACCCCTCCCTAGGGAACCCATCCCAGCGCTTCCCCACCCACCTAGGGAAATAGCTTTTCTTAATATCCAACCTAGACCTCTCCCATTGCAACTTGAGACCATTGGTTCTCGCTCTGTCATCTGTCACTCCTGAGAACAGCCTCTCTCCATCCTCTTTGGAACCCCCCTTCAGGGAGTTGAAAGCTGCTCTCAAATCCTCCCTCACTCTTCCCTTCTGCAGACTAAACAAACCCAAATTCTTCAGCCTCTCCTCGTAGGTCATGTGCTCCAGACCCTGTATCATTTTGGTTGTCCTCTGCTGGACCCTCTCCAGTGCGTCCACATCCTTTGTACAATGGGGGGCCCAGAATTGGACGCAAATATTCCAGATGTGGCCTCACCGCTGCTGAATAAAGGGGAATAATCACTTCCCTAAATCTGCTGGCAGTGCTCCCACTAATGCATCCCAATATACCGTTAGCCTTCTTGGCTACAAGGGCACCCTGTTGATTCATATCCAGCTTCTCATCCACTATCATCCCCAGGTCCTTTCCTACTGAACTGCTGCATAGCCATTTGGTCCCCTGCCTGTAACAATGCTTGGGATTCTTCCGTCCCAAGTGCAGGACTCTACACTTGTCCTTGCTGAACCTCATCAGATTTCTTTTGGCCCAATCCTCTAATCTGTCCAGGTCACTCTGGACCCTGTCCCTGCCCTCCAGTGTATCTACCTCTCCCCCTAGCTTAGTGTCATCGTCAAACTTGCTGAGGGTGAATCCATCCCCTCATCCAGGTCATTAATAAAGCTATTGAACAAAACCAGCCCTAGAACAGATCCTTGGGGCACTCCGCTAGAAACCGACCGCCAGCCTGACATCGAGCCGTTAATCACTACCCGCTGGGCAGGGACAAGGTTGATGGCACTCCAGCCCTCTTTAGGAAGTGGGCCTCTACCTCAGAGCTCTTTGCCAGGGGGCGATGTGGGAGACACAATCTCTTTCACTGTCGTCATTAAGCTTCTGCCTCGTCCATCGTACCCTAAATAAATCCACCATTGTCCTGTTACTTGTGGTCTCGTCTGGTTACCTCTCGGGAAAGGTGGTGGGGCCCCCTTCTAGTAACCGGGCCCCCCGATCCCCAGCTGTGGTTACAAAAGCGGGTGGTTCACGAGCTGGGGTGCGGTAATTTTAGTGCTGGCCTTAGCTGCTGTTTCACTCGTCCCTCAGCTGTGAGAAGAGGAATTGGAAGAGGCTGATGTAGCTGGGAAGTCACTTTGAAGCAGGTACCTGCCTCTTTCTCCTCTCTTGCCGGTAGCTCGTGCGGGACGCTGGAGGCACCGGGGATAATGGCGGACTGGGTGCTCATTGGACTGATCGGGGCCCTGGTCGTGCTGCTGCTGCTGACGCTCTTTGGCTTTGCCGTCTACTCGGGGCTCTTCACGGAGGTGGTGGTGAGTGCTGGCTCGCCCCCCATCGGCAGCATCACGGTGGCGTACAAGTTCAAGGTGGGGCCCTACGACGAGTCTGGCGAGCTGTACACCGAGAGCTGCAGCATCTCGCCCAAGCTCTGCTCCATCGGCGTCTACTACGACAGCCCGCACACGGTAGGCACAGGGCGGGAGCTGGCCGGGCCTGGGAGCCGCGTGGCTGAGTCTCCTCCCTGGGGGGTGGGAGCTGGGTAGGAACGTGGGCCGCTAGCAGGGAGGCCCCAGGTTGGTGGGACTTCGGGCTACGTGTAGGTATCCCCATGGGGGAGCTCTGCCATTCTTGGGGCTAGGCTGCACGGCGTTTCAGTGGGGCAGGAGGCCGAGGAGAACCCGAGTGCAAGTAGGTTCTGCTTCAACAGGCAGGCAGAAATTGGGGTGAGCTCAGGGTGGCCCTTCGGGCCCCCCAGAGATGGACACGCAGCCTGCCTTCCTGGGCTGCCGTTTGAGGTTCTCGGCGGTTCAAAGCAAATTGTCTTTCCCTTCCCGGACGTACTGGCCTGTGCCCCTCTGACTCCGGCACCTTCCCCAGCGTATCCCGCTTGGTTTGCGAGATGAGGTTGGGGATGATTCATGTCCCCAGCGACGCAGGAGACTTTTGGTTGGCACTTTTCTTCTGGCGCTTGCCAGATCGGACAGGGAGGCCCGAAGCCTGTCTGAGCTCCAAGTCTTCAGGCGGTGGGGAGAAGACCGCTGTCGAATGGCCACTAGGCGGTAGCCAGGCACCCAGCCACCGAGCTGGCAGCTTCCTGCCGGGGCATGAGAAGGATGACTGACGGAGGAGTGAAATAGCCTGTGCCCGGGACAGACGCACACTGTCGCACCAGTAACTCAGCAACATCCGGTGTGACCTGTCAGGAATGCTGGGTGAGACCTGCCAGCCACTGTGTGCGTGCTGGGAAGTGGGGCGGTGGACTTAGGGCTTAGGCGGACATCTCTTGCTTGGCTTTTCTGCTCCCCACTGAGCGGGGTGACTGGCCCTGCGGTGCGGGAAGCTGCCTCGAATGGCCGAGGCCTGCCCCTGTTTAATTGTTAGCCGGTGGTGCCTTTAGACAGGCGGAATGTGTCACTCAGCCCGACTGTTGGCATTCCTACCCTGGTCCGGGGACACCGGCCGTGTAAGCCTCCCGCTTTGCCAGTGTCCTGCCAGGGCAGCGTCACCAGGTATCCCTGCGGCCGCTGCAGAAGGTGGGAGGCAAAGAATCCCTGGGTGACGGGGATTTTGCTCCCTCGACGGCACTTTGCAGGGAGTCAGGTTGGTGGCCCCTTGTGCTCCCCATGTCTGCCCCCGCCTGGCCCCATTGCTCTCCCGTCCCTGTGGGCCATGGGAAGCAGAGAATAGCCCCGAGCAGAAGGCTCCTCGCGGCAGCTGTCAGCCCTCAGCCTTCCGGCCTTAATTCTCTCCTGTCGATTGTTGACATTGTCCCGTTGCCATGTCAACGCTTCATGACATCAGGAGCCGAGGGTTGTAGTGTCACAGCAGGAGCTGTTGGAGGACAGCCCCCTCATTCCAGAACAAATCTCGTTAGGCATGGCCGGGGGAGCGGCCCGAATACCCGCCAGGTCCTGCAGGCAGGATCACCCCTCTGCCAGCAGCCACGTGGAAATCTGGCAGCTCCCAGTGTGAGCAGGGAAGCAGGCCCTGGACAGCTGCTGGGCACAGCAGAGAGGCTATGGCTGGGTTAGCTAATGTCTGGGCCCCTGCTTCGGCCACCTCTGGGGTGGAACGTGGCCGCTTTCGAGCCATGCACAGCCGTGTCGCCCAGGAGACGAAGGATATTGTATAGTGGTGGCCTGGGCCGTGGGGCTAACAAGCCCTCCTCTTTAACGGGGCCACGAGGGCCTTAGTGACAGAAATGGCCAGGGCCTAAGGGGAAACACGGCTCCTCCCGCAGCAGAGACCCCAGCCACGGGCCGGGCATGTGTGTCTCTGTTAACACCCTGCGCAGAGAGCGCCTCCTACTGGGTGGCCAGGCCAGGCTGTATCAGTCACAGGGTCAGCTGCTACCAGATGTTCTGAGCCTGCCAGAGAGACTTGGTCCCTCTCCAGGCCCGGTGCAGCGTTTGAGAGGAGCACAGCACAGCGCTGTGGTGTCTGCCAGCAGACGTCCAAAGACAAGCGAGGCCAAGACACCGCAACACGGTCAAAAAACTCCCCCAGCATCAGCCCGTGTGAACAAGCTCTGCCGTCAGGGCCAGGGATGTAAATGAATGGCAGCTACCTACACTCTCTTGGGGGTTGGGGAAACCAGTTTTGAAGAGGGGGGGTTTCTCTTGGGACATAAAGCTGCCCCGGTAGGAAGAGGAGGATCGAGGTGGAAAATAGATTTGTTTGCAAACTGATCATCTCCCAAATAGTCAGATGAACAGGGCGTCTCTGTGCGTATTAAGAACAAGCAGCAGCAAAATGTCATTGGGCTTCGCGTTCAGCTCGCCGGCGGTTCCACGCATGGGTCCCTCTGACCTGCTCTGGTCACCTCCTAGCCCTGTAGCCCCGGCCCATGGACAGTCTGTCTCCCCAAATTCCCCCTCTGGTGGGATGCAGGATTCCCTTGTTCTGCCCAGAGCTGGCTGCATTTCAGGGTCCCTATGTCCAAGAATCTCTTTGGCTCTGGCCATGTCCGGTTGTTCTCTGGCCTGGCAGTGCCCCCCCCCCCTCCCTGCCTCCTGGGGGAAGAGAGGGCAGGACTCTGGGGTGCAGTCCCAGCAGAGGCCTTGGGTAACTAGATCCAGTGGGGAGTCATTCTCCAGTCTCCTGGGTCATCTGGGGGTACTGAAATCAGCCCTGCCCTGAGTCCACCCCACACAAGCCCCCCCATATTCTGGCTTTTTACTGCTGCTTCGGGAGGAAGGTGTGGAATATATGTTGGGTGGCCTTTGGGAGGATCTTCCCTCAGTGCTGTGAGCTGGGTCAGCTCGTGCCTCAGTTTCCCTTCTTGTTCTGAGGTGTCCCCAGGTGTCCCCCATGGGTGGGGAAACTGGCAGTGCTGCTGCCCATGCACTAGCTGATGGGTAAGAATGAGGGGACCTTGGTCTCTGGAGCTGGCACCGTTCACTAGCACTCGGGCTGTGATTCAGCGCGGGGCTGAGCTCTGTAACCCCTCTTTGATGTCAGAACTTGCTCTGCCAGCTCGGCAGCTTGTGAGAATTATGATTTCAGTTGGCATAGTGCGTAGAGGCCCCAGGCCGGATCAGGGCCCGCTGTGCCCAGGGTGTGCGATACTGTTGTTAAAAGAACACTTTGCACTTTGACAGCATCACCCTCCAAGCACCTTCAAATGCTTGTGAATTGTGTGCAACTGGGGGGGAGTGGAGATCGCTAGTTCATTGACGGGGAAACTGAGGCAAGGAAGAGAAGTGGATGGGATTTTGACTAGTCATTGGCAGAGCTAGGAATAGAACCTGGCTGTCCCGACTCGCAGTCCTCTGATCCTGCTACTGGATAACGCAGCCTGCCAGAGAGACTTGGTCCCTCTCCAGGCCCGGTGCAGCGTTTGAGAGGAGCACAGCACAGCGCTGTGGTGTCTGCCAGCAGACGTCCAAAGACAAGCGAGGCCAAGACACCGCAACACGGTCAAAAAACTCCCCCAGCATCAGCCCGTGTGAACAAGCTCTGCCGTCAGGGCCAGGGATGTAAATGAATGGCAGCTACCTACACTCTCTTGGGGGTTGGGGAAACCAGTTTTGAAGAGGGGGGGTTTCTCTTGGGACATAAAGCTGCCCCGGTAGGAAGAGGAGGATCGAGGTGGAAAATAGATTTGTTTGCAAACTGATCATCTCCCAAATAGTCAGATGAGGAATGTCTCAAATTCGAGATGGTCCGTGCCCTTTGTCTGTGCGCATTCATGTGGCTGCTAGGAAAAGGGGATGGTGTGTCTGCGTGTGAGAGGTAGCTAGAAAAATGGGATGAGGTGTGAGTGCGTGTGTGTGAGAGGTTTCTATGAAAAGGGGTTGGTGTGTGTGAGCGGTTGCTAGGGAAAGGCGTTGGGATCTGTGTGTGAGCGGTTGCTAGGGAAAGGGGTCGGTGTGTGTGTGAGCGGTTACTAGGAAGAGGGGATGGTGTGTGTGTGAGCGGTTGTAGGAAAAAGGGTCGGTGCGTGTGAGCCGTTGCTAGGAAAAGGGGATGGTGTGTGTGTGCATGCATGCGGTTGCTAGGTAAAGGGGGTCAGTGCGTGTGAGCGGTTGCTAGGAAAAGGGGACGGTGTGTGTGTGTGTGCATGCGCGCGGTTGCTAGGAAAAGGGGCTGGTGCATGCGAGCGGTTTGTAAGGAAAAGGGGACGGTGTGTGTGAGCGGTTGCTAAGAAAAGGGGTCGGTGCGTGTGAGCGGTTGCTAAGAAAAGGGGTCGGTGCGTGTGAGCGGTTGCTAAGAAAAGGGGTCGGTGCGTGTGAGCGGTTGCTAAGAAAAGGGGTCGGTGCGTGTGAGCGGTTGCTAAGAAAAGGGGTCGGTGCGTGTGAGCGGTTGCTAAGAAAAGGGGTCGGTGCGTGTGAGCGGTTGCTAAGAAAAGGGGTCGGTGCGTGTGAGCGGTTGCTAAGAAAAGGGGTCGGTGCGTGTGAGCGGTTGCTAAGAAAAGGGGTCGGTGCGTGTGAGCGGTTGCTAAGAAAAGGGGTCGGTGCGTGTGAGCGGTTGCTAAGAAAAGGGGTCGGTGCGTGTGAGCGGTTGCTAAGAAAAGGGGTCGAGGGTGTGTGCGCGTGCGCGCTGTTGCTAGGAAAAGGGGTCAGTACGTATCTCCCGGACAGATTCAAGAGGTCGCGGAGGGGAGACCTGTTGTTATCCGTCCGGTTGCATTTCCTTGCGGAGCTTTTGTCTCTGGCCAGGAGCTCCCTTCCCGCAGAGGGTGGTGGCGGCAGCGCAGTGGTGGGGGCTGCGCTCGGTTTCTGGCTGGTGGCGCCTGCTGTGGCCGGGGCGGGGTTGGCTTGGAGGGCGAGTGTGGTTGGGGCAGGGCCCAGCCCGCGCCTGGAGGCAGCGATGCTCTCTGCCTGGTCGGCGCTTTCCCACCCCCGACTCCCGCGGAGGGCGGCGCTCCCACACTTGCGGTACGGCCGCGGGAGCTGGGGGGCGTGGCAGTGTAGAAAACAGGCTCCTCTGCCCACTGTTGAAAGGCCGACATCGGCGTCTCGCT